TTATTATGAATAAAAACTTTACATCCAAAGACATGAAAATAGGAAAGGTTAGGCTTTCTTCCTTTGTAAAGTTCATAGGGCGTTTTCTTGAGTATCGGTCTAATGACGGCTCGGTTTAACACGTAGCACGCGGTACTCACGGCATCCGCCCAAAAATATTTAGGAAGGTTTGCCTCATTGAGCATAGTTCTAGCCATCTCTTCAAGAGACCTATTTTTCCGTTCAACCACGCCATTTTGTTGTGGTGTACGGGGGGCTGAAAAATTATGCTCAATGCCTAATTCGTCACAAACGACATCAAAGCCGTCTTGATCAAATTCTCCCCCATGATCACTTCTAATGGATGCAATGTGAGAGTCTTTTTCATTTTGAACCAATTTAATGAATTTCTTAAAAGCATTAAGTGCATCATACTTATGAGCAAGAAAGAGTGTCCATGTAAACCTCGAATAGTCATCAACGATAACAAAGCCAAAGTAATTACCTCCTAAACTCATAGTCCTTGAAGGTCCAAAAAGGTCCATGTGCAAAAGTTGTAATGGCCTAGTCGTAGAAACAACGTTCTTTGACTTAAACGAGGCCCTTACTTGCTTCCCCTTTTGACATGCATCATAAATTAGATTCTTCTCAAACTTAAGTTTAGGAACACCAATTACTAAGTCTTTAGAAACTAGCTTATTAAGATGGTCCATATTAACGTGAGCTATCCGACGATGCCATAGCCACGTTTCTTCCTCTTTGGTAATGAGGCACTTAGCAAAAGTAGACGGGGAATTTTCAAGATCAAACATGTAAATGTTATCTACTCTACTACCACAAAGAATAGTCTTATTGTCACACAAGCGTTCTACAATGCATTTACTAGAATTAAAGATGACACGGTTACCTCTATCGCACAATTGACTAATACTAAGGAGATTGTGCTTGAGGCCCTCAACAAGAAGAACGTTCTCAACGGTTGTAGCATTGTTTCTCCCGACGGTGCCACTCCCAATGATCTTTCCTTTGTTGTTGTCACCAAAAACGACATTGCCACCTTTGAAATACTCTAAACACCTAAATTTGGATGCGTCTCCGGTCATGTGCTTGGAGAATCCGCTATCGATATACCAAGAGGTACTCGAAGCCTTCAAGCACATCTATAAAAAGATATCAAGGAGACGGTTTAGGTACCCATGTATTGTTGGGTCCTTTTTGGTTAGCATATGTGTGATGTGTGTGCGTTTGTTGGAAATGCCTAATTTTGGTAAAGCACACGGGTGCAATGTGACCTATCTTATTGCAATAGTGGCATATAACTTTTGGATTATTCATCCTATATGGTTGAGTGTAGTGAGTTCTAGGTTTGCTAGGATGTGCTCTTCTAGTTTGATTATTTATCCTAGCATTTTTATTCCCCCTAGCTTTAACAAATGTTGTTTTTCTAGGTTGGTTTTTCTTATATCCAAGTCCTTCACCACTACTAACTTTTTGCTTAAGTATTTTATCTAAGGTGTTTGAAGCATTATTAAACTTTCCCAATTTGCTCTCTAAGCTAGCAACCTTAGCTTTTAGTGATGTACAATTAGAGCATGTAGAAGAGGTAGATGAAGGTTCTTGTGGCCTTTTTCCAAGAGAGATAATTTCTTGTTTAAGTTTATCATATATATTTTTGAGTTCTTTTACATCTTTTTCAAAAATCAGGATTTTTTGTTTAACTTCATTATTTTCTTTGGAAGCCTTTTTGAACATTCCTACAAGTTCTTCTACAATACAAATAACATCATTAAGAGTTAAAGGATCATTGGGAGAAGGTTCTTGATCACTTACCTCTTTTGATGTTTCACCATCCTCAATGGCCATGAGACATAGGTTGGCCACTTCCTCCGTTTCCGAGTCTTCACTCCCGGAGCTGTCGTTCTCCCAAGAAATGTAGGCACGTTGCTTCTTCGGTGCCCTCTTGTCCTTCTCGTTCTTGAGCTTTGGACACATTGGTTTGATGTGTCCAATTTCACCACACCCATAGCACTTGGGTGGAGTGTTCTTCTTGGCTCCCCTCTTGAGCATCATCTTCTTGAATTTTCGGACGAAGAGTCCGAGGTCGGTGTCGTCGTTGTCATCATCTTGATCATCAACGTTGTTGTGGGATGATGTTGTTGCGGGTAGAGCAATAGACCTCTTGCTCTTCTCTTCAACCACCTTTGAGAGTTGCGTGGTTTCGTAGGTAATGAGGTTACCTCGAAGAGCATCATAGGTCGTTGTTTGGAAGTCACGTCCTTCTTCAATTGCGTCCACCTTTGAACACCATTTTGGGGATAAGCTTCGTAGCACCTTTCTTACAAGTTCTCGGTCGGTGTAAGTCTTCCCGAGAAGATTGAGAGGATTAATGATGTTATAGAACCTCTAAAACATTTCCTCAATCTTCTCCTTTTCCTTCATAGAGAAGAGTTCGTACTCGTGGTTGAGATGGTCGATTTTGGCCTCCCGAACCTGCGCGGTTCCTTCGTAGGTGACCTCCAATTTCTCCCACATTTGTTTTTCGGTTTCACACCCCGAGATTTTTCGGTAGTCATCCGCATTAACACCGCAATAAATCATGTTTATTGCCTTTGCGTTGAGCTCCATCTTTTTGCAATCTTCATCGGTGAACTCCTCTTCAGTTTTGGGGATGTTGACTTCACCGACTTTCTTCATCGAGACTCCGCAGCCGTTCTTCACAATCAACCACAGCTTGTAGTCGTTGGATTGGATGAAGATTCTCATCCTCTCCTTCCAATACGAGTAGTTTGTTCCATCGAACAAAGGTGGTCTCGTGGTTGATTGTCCCTCGGTCACTCCTGCGTTGAACATCCTTGATGCCATTTGATCTTTTAGTTCCTGAAAAATAAAGTAATCGAAGAACTTCCCGCTCTGATACCAATTGTTAGACAAATGTGCAACTCTAGAGGGGGGTGAATAGAGTTGTTTTCAAGAATGTGCGTTTTTCGCGTGTGTGAAATAATAAAATCGCAGGAATAAATAAGGAGAGTAAGGGAAAGAAGAACACCGAGATTTATATTGGTTCACCACCTCGTGGCTAGTCCAGTCCTCCGAGAGACTCTCTCGAAAGTCCTACTAATCTTCAAGCTTCAACGGGTGCTTGAAAAACCGGTACAACTTGACAACTTGAATCACACAAGCCTCACTTTCTTACAACAACAAGACTTGAGTCACACAAGTCTTATGAACAACACTCAAATGATATTGAGTTTACAACACAAGAATGAAAGCTCACACAATTGAGCAAAGTAGTGTTGAAGAATTAAAGCTCTATGGATGACAACTTCTTTAGCACTCAAAGAAAATATTTCTAACTCTCAAAAATAATATTTTGATGAGGAAGATCAAGCAAGGAATGAATATAGCTCAAAGGGTATATTAGAGTGCAAGAGTAGTGTTTGGAAATGGAGGAGAAAAAGGGATTAAATAGGCTGAGGATAAAAGATCCGTTGGAGCCACTGAAAAGAACTAAGAATAGGCACTAGACAGAATTAATCGATTAAATTAGGAACTTTAATCGATTAAAGTGTACAGAAGCAAAAAGGCTTGAATGCAAAGGTGGAATTAATCGATTAAAAAAAAGAGAAAAATCGATTAGCTTGCTCTGTTTATACTAATCGATTAAATGGAGCAATTTAATCGATTAAGTCTATTGGCCTGCACTGAGAAATTGGATCTAATCGATTATTTTAAAAAATTTAATCGATTAAAATAAAAATAATGCGCAAACATGAAGGGCCCAAGCCAAGCGCGATGAGAAGGGCATTGGCTTCTTACTAGTTGTTTTGGACAACGAGAATATCAACGGACGCTCTTCAAATAATAATGTCTCCTATTCAATGTATTTGAGTAGGGGAGAAAAACTGAGTCCAAAAATTATTTTGTGTGTCAAACGATGTACAAAAAAAATATTTAAAGTGTATTTTTCTTATCATAAAAAATGTGTATCCAAAAAATACTTTTAAGAAATTTTGACACACTATTTTGAAACTGACTCAGTAAAATATTTTTAGACAGAGAAAAACTAATTTTCCAACTGACTCGGAAAATAATAGTTTTTATGTAAAAAAATTTGTTTATGCAGAAGTTATTGTCATCCTTACAAAAATTCCTAGACTCAAAAAAAGGTCTTCAGAATCTTCATTTCAAAAACTTCGTAGGGGTGAGCGTTGATTTTATCACTGAAAAAAAATCTTGATACGCCTCTTTGCTTTTCTCGATACGAAAAATAAATTTCTGATCAGCTTGAATTTAATCATCCTGTTTGTCATTCATCAAAACAAAAAAAATTTCCGATCAGCTTGAATTTAATCATCCTGTTTGAACTCATGTCCAACAATTTCCCCCTTTTTGATAATGACAAACATAGTTGAGAAAGAGCAAAGTAAGAGTTCAAGAAATACTTCCCTTTAAGAATAATCCCCCCTACAAGGTTAGAGAAGTGCAAAAAAAATATCGGAGTAAAAGGCGGGAAAACGTTTTTGAAAAAAACCAGTTTTCTGAACTACCCTTCCTTCCCAACAGGCGGTGGATAGGGCGACAGAGTGTTGTTTCTTAGATGACCAAGACACTACTGCATGACTTATGAATTGACATATGCCACTTGTGTTTTTCCGATTAATATGACACCCTCCAAAGTCGGCATCACTAAAACCAATCAAGCTTAAATTCGTATTCTTAGGATACCATAAACCCATATTGGTTGTTCCCTTAACATATCGAATTATTCGCTTGACGGCATTAAGATGTGATTCTTTGGGTGATGATTGGAAACGTGCACAAAGACAAACGGAAAACATTATATTGGGTCTAGATGCAGTTAAATAAAGCAAACTACCAATCATACCTCGATATACCTTTTCATTTACGGGTTTTCCGCTTTCGTCGTTGTCAAGTTTTAAAGATGTTCTTATTGGAGTCGGATATGTTTTTGAGTCTTCAAGGTTGAACTTCTTGACTAATTCTTTGGCATACTTGGTTTGGCTAATGAAAATACCGTCTCCAAGTTGCTTAATTTGAAGTCCAAGGAAGAAGTTCAACTCACCCATCATACTCATTTCAAATTCGCTTGTCATAATTCCTGAAAATTCATTACATAAGGCTTCATTAGTTGACCCAAAAATAATATCATCAACATAAATTTGCACAATTATGAGATCTTTTCCTTTTCTTTTGACAAAAAGTATGGAATCGATTTTTCCTTTTGCAAATCCATGTGAGATGAGATGTTCGGTAAGCCGCTCATACCAAGCTCTAGGAGCTTGTTTGAGTCCATAAAGGGCCTTATGAAGTTTAAAAATATGATTTGGAAAATCAGGATTTTCAAAACCGGGAGGTTGTTCAACATAAACTTCTTCTTTTAACCACCCATTTAGAAAAGCACTTTTTACATCCATTTGAAAAAGTTTGAAATTAAGAGCACTTGCAAAAGCTAATAACATTCGAATAGATTCAAGCCTAGCAACCAGAGCAAAAGTTTCATCATAGTCAAGTCCTTCAACTTGGCTATAGCCTTTAGCAACAATTCGACTTTTATTGGTGATAATAACACCATTTTCATCAAGCTTGTTTCTAAAGACCCATTTAGTGCCCACAACGGGCCGGTTTTCCGGTCTTTTGACTAGCTCCCAAACCTTGTTGCGTTCAAATTGCTCAAGCTCTAGTTGCATGTATATAATCCAATCACTATCTTTTAGTGCATCTTCTACGTTCTTAGGTTCATATTGACTAACGAACGCATAGTGTGCACAAAGATTGTAATTGTTCCTAGTTCTAACTCCCTTTCCAATATCTCCAATGATATTGTCTCTTGGATGATTCTTCAAGTGTTTGTATGCCTTCGGTAGTTCCTAGTTTGCATTTTCTTCTTCTTGCGCAGGAATTTCCAGGATTTCTTCTTCCTCTGCTTCTTCATTTGAACCTGCAATTACCTTACTCGACCCAAAGGGATCAGTTTCATCAAATTTTACATGCATAGATTCTTCTACTTTATGATTTGATTTATTATATACCCTATAGGCTCTACTATTTGTTGAATAACCAAGGAAAATTCCTTCATTTGATTTAGGCTCAAATTTTCCTAAATGATCCTTGGTATTCAAAATATAGCATTTACACCCAAAAACTTTGAAATAGGAAATGTTTGGTTTTCTACCTTTCCAAAGTTCATAAAGAGTCTTTTTAATAATAGGTCTAAGTAATACCCAGTTAAGAACGTAGCATGCCGTGTTGACCGCTTCTCCCCAAAAATATTGAGGTAGGTTGTGTTCATTCAACATGGTCCTTGACATTTCTTGCAACGTCCTATTTTTCCTTTCAACGACTCCATTTTGTTGAGGTGTTCTAGGAGCCGGAAAGTTGTGAGAAATATCATGTTCATCACAATATGTTTCAAAATCGGTATTCCGGTATTCTCCTCCTCTATCACTTTTAATAGAGGTTATTTCATAACCTTTCTCATTTTGGATTTTCTTGCACAACTTAAAAAACGCATTAAACGCGTCATCTTTATTGGCAAGTAATATAGTCGAAGTATAACGAGAAAAATCATCTACAATTACAAAAGTAAAACTAGCTCCACCTAGGCTTTGAACGTCTACGGGCCCAAATAAATCCATATGTAATAGTTTAAGTGGCCTTGACGTTAAACCCATTTTTATGGGTTTAAATGAAACTTTATGTTGTTTTCTAGGAGAGCAAGCATCACAAAAATGAGAAGTAGGTATGATCATTTTTGGTAGCCCAACAACAAGTTCTTTTGAGTAAAGTTTTCTCAAAAGATCATAACTAGCATATCCTAGTCTACGGTGCCATAAAGTTGAAAATTCAAGTGAAGTAGTAAGACAAGTGATTTTTGAGTTGCTTAAGTCATTGGAATTGAACTTGTATAAGTTTCCATCTCTTTTAGCCTAAAAAATGATTTCATCTTTATTTTGGCCATATAAAACGCAAGAATTTGCATTAAACTCAATTTTGTGGCCATTGTCACAAAGTTGGCTTATGCTAGTTAAGTTAAATTTTAGGCCATCAACAAGATAAACATCATTTATTGAAAAATCACTTGAAATACCTATCGTACCTTTACCAAGGACTTTCTTCCAGGATTTGTCTCCAAGGGTCACATGTCCATGACTTTTCTCCTTGAGGTGTGTGAACCATCCTCTTGTTCCGGTCATGTGCCTCAAACATTCACTATCCACAACCCAAGTAGTATTTTTCACCTAGTCAAAACGGAATTTAGTTTTGACTTAGGTTTGGGGTTCCAATCGACGAATACCCTATGTCGATATATGGGTTTCGTCTTGGTTGGTTCCGGAAGTGGTATATGGACTTTTCGTTTTTCGTCATAATAAAAGAAATAGTATCCACCATCATTTGTTTTATTTTCCTGCAAAAAGGGTTTCTTTTGATATCCAATATTCTTGGATTCCGACCGGTTAGAACCCTTCTTGACCCATTTTAAATAACGCATTTCAACTAACCATTTGTTTGGACACTTTGTCACAATATGGTTAGCTTGCATGCAATAATGGCAAGCCTTTACTTTTGATTTAGAAGTTGAGGCTTGGTTTGATGGGTTTGTTTTTGAGGTATTAAAATGATTTTTAGCCATGCTCATCAAGTTTGTGGATTGACCATAACCAATGCCTTCTTTTGTTAGTTTTGGTTGGTCTCCCACATCTTCATTGAGCTATAGCTATCATAAAACATTTCCAAAGCCCCTCGCTTGGCCTTGTCTTTTTCTTTAATCAAAATTTCGATTTTCTTTTGAAATTCTTCATTTTGGCATTCATCAAATGCTTTTTCTCCCTAATGGTTCGAAAAAGGTCCTCTTGGCATTCATCAAATGCTTGCCTTAACTCATCAAAGTAATTTGAATTTCAAAAGAGGTAAATGAATTTTGAGAACTAACCTCTTCTTCATCATTTGAGGCCATGAAGCAAGCATTTGCATTCTCTTCTTGTCTTTGGTCACTATCACTTTCGTCGGAGTTTAAATCGTCCCAAGTGACTTTTAATGCCTTCTTCTTCCCCTTTTTAATCTCTTCCTTCTTTTTGAGCTTTGGGCACTCCGGTTTGATATGACCTATATTTCCACATTCATAGCAAGTTATTTGATTAGGTTTACCTTTCTTTGATGGAAATCTTTTTGAGGATTCGCCCTTGTTCCATTTCATAAACTTCTTGTATCCCTTGAACATGGCAAGCTCCTCATCACTTTCTCCTTCGCTTTCCGGATGGTCATCAATTTTGAGTGCCATGGTCTTCTTGATGATAGGAACATGTTCTTCTTCCTTCATTTTCTTCAAAAGAAGCTCGTGAGAGTATAGGCTGCTCCAAATGGTGGAGGTTTCAACATCCGCACATTTGGGCAACAAGTTTACAACAAGAATATGCCACTCTCTAGGAAGAGAGAATATATTCTTGGTGTTAATCTCACTAGTAGGATAAACTTTATTTAGCTTACTCAAATTGTTGATGATGAGGTTGAATCTTTTGTTCATATCTTGAACGGACTCTCCGGCCTTCATCTTGAAGTTTTCATACTCGGATGTTCCTAAAGCTATCTTGATAGCTTTGGTGTCTTTATCTCCTTCATGGGTGGCTTCTAGGAGCTTCCATGCTTCCTTTACGGATTTGCAAGAGCTCACCCTAGCAAACTCATCTTGACCCAATGCACAAAACAATACGTTTAATGCTTTGGCATTAAAAGAGAGCTTTTTCTTGTCATCGATTGTGAGCTTGTCCATTGGCGTAGGCACTTGATGTTCACCTACAGTTGTCATAGTAACAAAAGGACCATGAGTAGTGACTATCCATAAATCATAGTCAATAGATTGAATGAAATTCTCCATTCGCATTATCGAATAGCCATAGTCATCCCCATTGAAGAATGGTGGCTTGGTAATGCTTTGGGAGTTCATTGAATCCATGTGTCGTAAAAAGAAGTAAAAGATGAGTGTGAAAGAATCAAACTTCCTGCTCCGATACCAATTGAAATTCGGTTTACACTCTAAGAGGGGGGGTGAATTAGGGTGTTTGCAAGTTTTTCGTAAAAACAAAAACTTATGCGCAAAGTAGTAGCGGAAAAAGAGCAAGAAAAGTATAAAAGATAAAAATACGACACAAGCAATTTTATACTGGTTCGGGAACTCCCTACTCCAATACCTCGAGGCTCCTCCTCAAGGATTTAACCTCCACTAACTTGTTTGGCTTCACTAAGAAGACTCAAACGAGGTTTGGCAAACAACCCTTGCCAATAAGCAAATGAGATTTTGCTACGGCTATCTCAACCGTTTACAACCAAAGATTTTAAGGCTATCTTCAACCTTACAATGAGGATTTAAAGGCTATCCACACCTTATACAAATCAATAAAAGATTGGTGTTGCTTCTCTACCAAAATGATAACAAATATAAATTTGGTAGGAGAAGAACAAAAAATTAAATCAACAACAACAAAAGCCTATATAGGCAAAATATAAAATAATGAAGCACAAATGCCCTTGTGTGTGAGTGTATGAAAATAATAAAAGCTTTTTACTCAAAAGAATGAGAAAAATAAGAACAAAGCTTTAAGAACACTCAAGAATAGAGAAAGAGGCTTTAGATTTGATTGGGAAGTTGTTATTTATAAAATGAGACTTAAAGGGGGTCTATATAGGAGTTTGGAATATTAAAATTTGAGTTTTTAACGTTAAAAGTGTTAGAATAAAGGCCCAACGCTAGAGGGGGGGTGAATAGCGTTTGAAATAAAATCGCAGGAAATTAAAAACGAGTGCGTTAAAGTAAAGAGCGTAAGGAAGGAGCACACCGAATTTTATCCTGGTTCACCACAACGTGTGGCTAATCCAGCCCCCCGAGAGACTCTCTCGAGCTACACTAACTCCGTTAAGCTTAAGGGTGCTTAACAAACCGATACAACTTGAGAACCCGAGTCACACGAGCCTCAACACCTTTGCTCGGAGATACCGCACTCCAAGACTTCTCACGAAGGAACAAGGAACTNAGAAATCATCAAAAATGTTTGTTTTGATGCACAAAAAATATTTTATGATTTGTAAAAATTGTTTTGACTTTTTGAGAACCGAGACTTGAATTTATTGTCGGTTTTGATCACAAAAGACCGACTCGACTAAGTCTTCAATTCTTGATCTTGTCCTTGAGTCTTTTAGGTCTTGTTCCAAGCCATTCTTCACGCCTTGAGTTATTCAACGAAACTCTTTATATCCACGGCGGTTTGGCAATTATCAAAACCTGTCAAAAATGAACACGACTTTAGTTTATCGTACAAAGTGTGTTCCAACAAAAAGCCATTAGGAAGTGATTACGGGTGATTTGAATTTAAATTGGCAATTTGTTACAGTGATTACAACGGATCTGGTACTTCACGGTAGGGTTAGTACCGTCCGGTACCTAGGTACCGTGACCACGGTACAGCCTACCGTTTGGGGGTACTGTATAAGCCAAAGGTTTGGTTCGCCTCTGGCGGTACCTGGTTAGGACGGGGGTGGCCAACCATCTCTGCCTACCGTCCGGTACCCAGGTACCATTGCACGGTAGGGGGGTACCGTGTAACACTCGGGTGAAACGTACAACGGTATGTTCACTTGGCTACCGGCGGTACCTTGGTGCCGTGTACACGGTAGCCAGGTACCGTTGGGCCTGTGTAAATTTTCCAAAACACGTTTTTTGTGTTCCGTTTTCAAAATAACCCCAACTAAGAATATATTCGATATTTTAAAAATAATCTTTGAGCGAAAGGGCATAAGTAAATCATTAAAATATATCATTACCTTTACACAATAATTTCTAAATTTGTAGGAGTATATCTCGGTGATGCTAAACAAGCTAATAGAGGTTTGGCGTTTGTTTTCTTCCTGCAAATGATGTTCGTAGCATTTGGAAGACTTATTTGGCACATCAAAACGCTTACGGGGTACGATATTCAAGGCCAACAGTTGTGAATACCACACCTCCTCCGTAACCTTTCGGTCTGGAGGCTCCATCTACCGACATGGACCACCAAGGCTCGGTGATGGCCCTAGCCGGTTCTTCTTCCTAGTGACCCATCATTTCGACAAGAAAGTCTGCCACGGCCTGCCCTTTTATCGCCGTCCTTGGACGATATTCAATGTTGAACTAAGTCAGCATCATGGCCCATTTGATCATTCTTCGAGACGAAGTGGAGTCCCTCTTGATCGTGCCCAATGGTTGGTCGGTCAATACAACAATGGGATGAACTTGAAAGTAGGAAGTAAGTTTCTTTGCTGTTATGAAAAGAGCATACCCAGCTTTCTCTGTGGGGGTATACCTACTTTCTGTCCCATTTAAAGCCTTGCTTACATAGTAGATGGGCCTTTGGACCCCGTCATCCCTCATCAAGACCGAGCTAACGGCCATCTGAGTTACCCCCAAGTAGAGATATAGTATCTCCTTCGTTTCCGGCTTGGACAGGACAATGTCCGAAGTTAGGTACGTCTTTAATTCTTCGAATGCCCTGGCACATTCGTCATCCCACTATAAGGGGCTGGCTTTCTTTAAAACCTTAAAGAAAGGCAAGGCCTTCTCCGCCAACCTGGAAAAGAACCGGTTTAAAGACGCCAAATGCCCTGTTAACCTCTGGACATCCCGTACCGATGTTGGGGGTTACATTTCCACCATGGTCATGATCTTTTCAGGATTTGGCTCAATCCCCCTCTTTGTGACCATGAAGCCCATGAATTTCCCTGTTCTCACAGCAAAAATGCACTTCTTTGGATTGAGTTTGAGATTATGCCTGGCCATAATCTCAAAACATTTTTCCAGCTCTTGGGTATGTGTGCCAGCTGCCCTTCTCTTCACAAGCATATCGTCGACGTTGGCCTACACGGTTCGTCCAAGCAACGGCCTGAACAATTTATTTACCATCCTCTGATAAGTTGCCCCTGAGTTTTTCAACCCAAAGGCCATCACCCTATAACAGTATGTCCCGTCCGGGGTGAGGAAGGCTGTCTTTTCCTCATCTTCCTCTCCCATGAAGATTTGATGATACCCTTTGAAGGCATCCATGAAACTAAGCAGCTCGCACCTAGCGGTTTCATCTACGATTTGGTCCGGGCTAGGGAGAGGGTAAGAATCCATTGGACATGCCTTGTTGAGATCTGTGTAATCCACGCACATCCTCCAAGTATCACCCTTCGGGGCCAGGACAACATTGGCCAACCATTCACGGTAATTTACTTCTATGATATGACCTACCTCCAGTAGGTCTTTGACCTCCTTTTTCATGAAATCCCTCCGTTCACTTGCCAAGAATCTCTTCTTCTGTCTTACAGGCCTAGACCCCTCAAGATCAGAGAGACGATGGCAAATGACTGACTGGTCAATCCCGGGCATATCAGCAACACTCCAGGCAAATAAAGATTTATACCTGGTCAACAGCTGGACAATCCTTAACTCTTCTTGAAGATCAGCCCCAATTGTGACCTTCTGTTCAGGGTTGGAAGTGTCAATCTGGATCTCCTCCGTGTTTGCATCAGGCTCGATCCTAGCCTTCTCCTCACCCTTGTCTACCTGCTGGGAGACTACTTCAATTTGTTCGAACTGGCGAGTCATCTTCCTGACCACTTCCAGGTAGCAAGACCGGGCATTCTTTTCATCACCCCTTTCCTCCCCGATTCCATTGGGAGTGTAAAATTTCATACATAAGTGTGCCATAAAAATAATGGCCCTGACCTGGTTGATCCCAGGCCTACCCAGAATGGCATTATGCACACACTTGATATTGACCACAACAAATCTCATTTGTTTGGTCACTGTTTTGTCACCCGACCCCAAGGTAACTGGTAGGGTGATCTGACCTTCTGCCTCTATGCTAGCTCCAGTGAAGCCAGATAATGGAGTTTGTAGTGGTTTTAACATGGACCTGTCAAGCTTCAATTTCTTAAAAGCGTCCAAGTATAAAACATTGACACTGCTAGTATCGACCAGGACCCTTGCCACATCAGCTCCATTGATGTCCATTGAAATGACCAAAGGGTCATTATGGTCTCCCCCCGTCCTGGGCAAATCTCTATCACTGAAAGTGATAGGTTCTCTCCTTGTTTGCTTCCCTTGCGTTTCCAAGGATACAACCGCCACATGTAGACTTCTGGCCCAATTCTTCCGTTGGGAGGAAGTGTCCCCGCCAACGATCATCTCGATGAACTCCTTCGCTGGCTTGTTATTATCCCTGTCTTTTCTCCTTCCTTGATCTTTTTCTTGAGGACGGGTCCAGGTGTTTGCTTTCGGGTCCTTCTTAGGCCCCGTCACATAACCTTCTCCAAGCTCTCCCTTCAAGGCCATCTCCTTGAGCACAACCTTGACGTTTCGGCAATCCGCCGTGTTGTGGGAATCAGATTGGTGGTAGGTATACCACTTCTCTGTCCAAGGCCTCTTGGGTTGTTCTCTTTTCTTCTCATCCCTGATTTGATGGACCGTCTCGTCATATATGGCTCTTGGCTTGGACCCTCCCATCTGGTTGTCCTTCTTTGGCTTATCAGTTTTCACCCTTGTATAACCTTCCTCCAGTTCTCGTTTGCTCTTGTGTAGGACCTCTGCCTTGGCATACTCCCATGCCGTATTGTAGGCTTCTTGATAAGAGGAGGGTGGCCTCCTACAAAACTCAGTGTAGAGGTCACCCAACCTAAAGGCGTTCATCAATAAAGACATGGTCGTCTTATCATCCATCTCTTCTACCTTATCGACCTCATCCCTCCAGCGGGTTAAGAACTGAGTCAAGTACTCATTCTCCCTCTGCCCTACCGTGTTAAGGTAGGTGAACTTCTTCCTTTTGATGCAGTTGTTCTGGTACTTCTTGCAGAAAATCTCAGCAAGTTTTTCAAAGGATCCGATTTTACCATGAGAAAGGCTGTTAAACCATTCCACTGGCCTCCCTCTCAAGGATGTGAAGAAGAGTAGGCACTCCTCAGCATCAGTGCACCCGACCATTTGTGCTGCATTATAGAAGGAGTCAAGGTGGACGTTTGGATCCTCCTTTCAAGTGAATTCCTCCACGTCCAACTTGATCTTCCGCCTTAATTTGTGTGCATGTACCCTGGCCAAAAAGGGTGATTTGGCTAGGGTGTGCTTCTTTACTTTTTCCTCTAGAGCGCGTAACTTTCTTGCTACGCTCCCTATCTTGTCCAGGTCATCCTCATCATACGAGAGCTTGTTATATGCCGACGCCTTGGGCTAACTCTCAACCTCTTCTTCGTTTAGGTGAATCGTCTCAGATTCCCTAGAACAACGTGATTGGGCGAGACAACTCCCCCCAAGTCTTTCTATCGCGCTAGTCCGGCCCATCTCAGGACCAAAACGTAGCTTGGCAGACTTGCGGGGTCCATCTTCTTTGTCCCACATGCGTTTGAAAGCAGAATCCCGGGTTTTGTTGGGCTTAGCTATAGCTTTACCCTTCCTTCTGCGGGCCACCTCTTGCTCCGCCTCGTCGACTTCATGGACATTTGAGGGGGCTGCTTTGTCCATGGTCCCTATCAAATTCACCAGGCGTATAGGGACCATCCTAGGGACATATGTCGACGGGGTCGACACCGAGGGTGGCATATGGCTCATAATTGGTGGCATCATGCCAGGATAGGTAAATGGCATGAAGCCCCCTGCCTGTTACATCATGGCCATCACCTGTTGATAGCCTTGTAAAGCCTGAGCATTTGCCGGGTCAGCGGCAAATTGAGCCAAGCTTGATGGGTATGGCGTGAAAGCTCCCCCAAGCGTTGTTATCGAGCCTGAGAACATTGTCATTGTCGGCGTAGGAGTAGGGGTTGACATGATTGGGATCATCCCAATCAATTGTATTGTGGTGATCGGGGCAAAAGTCGACCCCATGCTTGTCATCATTAGTGGGATGGCAGGGGTGCTTTCACTCGCAACCTGGCTTGAAACAATGGTGTGATTGCTTCAAGACATGATAGTGGATATTTCGTGGGGATAAAGTTTTGACGTGGTCAAAAAACTTTTACAAAAAGGGTCCCACAGTTGGCGCAAAAAATAATGGTGTAAATATAGCTGGATGGGTTGACCAAGTTTGACCTGGACATACTCGACCCGTAGTAAAATACACACAACAAGAACACAAAATATGACCTAGACTGGGTAAATCTCCTCAGTCCGAATTATATTTCTTACTCTGTCTCAAGAGTGTACTTTTAGTGAGATAAAACTTGTCTCCCTTCCTCCATCCATAATAATCATATTTATAGAGAAGGATTTGTGACCTTCCCATGTTCATCCATAGACAAAATAGGAAGCTCATGGGAAAGTTACTGTACATAATGGAATTACTATTCAATCATGGACTTGTCATGAATACAACCAAGAAGCACTGTTCAATCAATGACTTTAAGGTAGATTCTCCCTAGCCAATCAACCCTGCAAGATGACAAATATTCATTTCACTGTATGCCTCGTGATGGATGAGCGGCGGGGTTGTCCCCTGTCCTCTGATGCTTATTGTCATGCTTGGGAGGATGGTCGAACATTAGCTAAGTAGAAGAATATGACCAATCACCTTTCCTCGAAGGCTGACCGGTCATTTCTTGAGTTCAACCTGTCTCTTTGGTCTTCCAGAATATCCTTCGTAACATTAGGTGACATTTTGGCTATCGCCCAAAATGTGATCGGTCACCTTTTAAGGAAATTGACTGGTCAATTTCCAACCCGTCTCAATCAAAGAGTTGTCCTCATTTTGTGATCATGGAAAGTGACCAGTCAACTTTTGACCTGTCCCTTTCGGTTATTCGGGCCGGGTATAAGGATATACCCATCAGGATGGAAAGGCTAAGGATTTAAATGATCTGCAAGAAGCTTACTCCATCAAACTTTGGTGGAATTTTAAATTTACTCCATAAAAAATCATTTTGGATTCTTTCTAAATGAGAAAAACAATGGTTTTAATTGAACACAAAACAAATATAAAAAAGAATAAGTTTCATAATTGGTCCTTTATATCAAGAGAATTTCTCTATTTAGTCCTCTACTATCAAATATCACATTGTTGGTCCTTTTATTGATATCTTTTCCTAAATAGTTCCTTTTTGTCTTCTATCATGTTGGTGTTAATGAGAGGACTAAAAGTGTAATTTTACAATGATCATATATATTTCTTGTCATACACAATTCCAAAGGCCGCTCCTGATGCGTCGTTTGTGGATTACAAACGCTTTCTGCTACAACTATAGTCTCAGATGTGGTCTTTCGTCGGAATCCTAACTCACAATCATAGTCATTATTTTTGTGTTATTCGTCTAAACAATATCAGAATACGTCACTAGACATAAGGTTTATGTCAAATTATACTTTTAACCTTTAAACTAACACCATTTGTGGAAGAAGATATTAAAGGACCATTTATAAAAAGACACCTATAAAAGAAAGACTACATGAGTAATATTTGATAATAGTCAATAAATGACTAAATACGAAAACTTCTATATTATAAAAGATCAATTATGAAATTTACTTTATAAAAAAGTGAAAAATGAAAACCCAACAAGACTATTAATTTATTCACATTGGTTCCCATGACATTGGGAATCGTCATGGGAACCGGGGAGTTTAGAGAAATAGGAACCGTCAATTTTACGAATAGACACCAGAGCACCTCGGGTCATTGTTGAAGACTTGTCGTGTGGTCCAAAACAAATTAAAAATTTATAAAATATCCTTAGCTAACCCCCAAGATATAATCAAATAAAAACTAAAGCTAGGGCAAGTAAGGGTCGATCCCACGGAGAAAGTTTGTACTTTTTAAAACCAAATTAGCATGCACACACGTTGTCACTAAACAAAACAAACTAACTACTAAACATATGATAAGACGTATAAAACTTATAAATAAAACTTATATAAACAAAGAACTTATAATATAACTTAAACACAACACAAATGGGGGGGTTTGAATAAAAAGTAAATATTTTTTGGTTTTTTATATTTTCTTATTTTTTGGTTTTTTGATTAAATGGGGGAAAACAAGATTTAAAGATAATCATCTACTCCAACAAAAGTAACCCAAGAACACCACCAAGAACCCGAAACAAAATAAAAAAGAGAACAAACACAATCGAACATTACACGTATAATAGGCACGTAGACAATATATTACGTAACTTACGGACTTAAGAATAGGAAAAATCAATCAAAGGCCGAGTCGATTCATTTCCTTAACCACGATATGGAGGATTGTCAACTCTCCACACGGCCCGAAGTCATGCAATTTAAAGGCCCGTTTTTAAATATACCTTAGAACCCCAACTCTCTATTCAAGCATGAGAACATACTTCCACTATAGAAAAAGTTTATAAAAGAGAGAATCTATTATGCATTCAACTCTCATACATAATCTATTCACAAACCGCCAATACCTTATGCATTTTAACAAACTTTTTCTCCTAATGATGAGCACATTTCACAGATTTCCATGAACTTCTCAAATCAATGGCGTTTTTTCTATTCACATAGATGAACACAACATATTTTCAATAAATCGAGAATTGTTTTTGAGCTTAAACAACCTTAATTTTGTGAAAATAACGAACAAACATACGAGAAAACACACAATCACTCAATAACGAATTCTAAGAAAAATGAATCAACTTATGGGGCTAAGAAGTCCAAATTCCTTAAAATCAACAAACACAAATCACAAAAAAGATTCACGTATGAATTCGGAGTTCATTTAACTACCTTATGGAGCTAAAATAGCTTCAACAAAAACCGAATTCCCCATACCAACCTACTTATGAAATCAAATTATACAATTCAACCAATTCAACAACTTGCTCAATAATTGATGAAAAACTAGTATGAATCAATTCTCATTCATAAGGGATATTAATATAAACATGAAAAAAAATCCAAAAAGAACACCAACCATTTTTTTTAGAATTTTCAAAATTAAAACAACAAGGGAAAAGAATGTAAATTGAATCAAAAACAAACTTTTACAAAGAAATTGGAGAAGAAAAAAAAGAAATTGACAATTAAGAGTTACCAATTGTTGAAAAAGATGAACAAATTGAGTAAACTAGAGCTGTGATGGAGGCTGCCCACCGGAACTGGAGCTGCTGCGCGTCTGCCGGCCGTTCGCCGCGCCGCCTGCCACCACCGCCGGCGACCACCATAGCAGCGGCCAAGCCGCTGCTTTATTCTCGTGTTTCCCCTCTGCTTCCCCCCTCCTCTTGTTGCAATTCGTTTTCAATTTATAGTAAGCAAGAGCCTTTTACCGTTGGAGCGCTTGAGCGATCATTGAATGAGGAGCGAGATTCATGGAGCCGAACATTGGAGCGGGTTTTGATAACCGTAGAAGAAGAAGTCGAAGAAGAAGGAACCGCTGACTTTTTTTTTCATTCTTGCGTGAAACCAATTTGGGGTGAGAGATGCGATGGGCTGGGTTGGGTTTTGTTGTTGATGGGTTTGGGCTCCGTCCCAAATTCAATCTTTTTTTCCAAACTTGATCTTCAATTTGGTCTTTTGCTGCGCTTTTCTTTAAAAATAAAATATCTGATAATTTGGGTTAGGAAAAACCAAATAAAAACAATAATATGTAAAAAGGTGATTAAAAAGCTACTATTTAGGAAAGAAAATAAAAAGAATGTAAAAATGAAAATTATAATAAAACTAAGCTAAACAACTAAAAATTAAACTCTAAAAATATTAAAAATGCCTAAAAAAGAATAAAAAGAACTAACCCAAAAACAACTTATCAAATACCCCCACACTTAAGACTTGAACGTCCTCGTTCAAAAGACCAAAAAGAAACCATTTCAATTCCAATCATCATCAAGAATAACAAAATGCACCTTACACACCCACTCTTAAGACTTTATGCCCCAAAAAAAAAAATTAAAACAAAGTGAGTTACAAATCCTATAAAAATATAGAACTAAATAATGGATTATTTGGGTTCTAAAAAAAATGCTCTAAAGTTGCCACAAAAAAGTTTTCTAAGGGAATCCTATGGTTCAGAAAGGCTCAATGGCAACGGTAGCAAAGATTGAAAAAGAAGCCTAAAAGATTAAAAAAAAACTTATATTTTCTAAAGAAAAAAATGAAATGTTCCTAAAACTGGTTTCTTTTTCAAATTTTAATATCAAGCAAAAGTGATTAAAACAGCATCTAGATAATATGTGGATGACCAGTTCTAGAAAAAAAATTAAGGAAACCTAAAAAGATTCAAACGTTAAGGTCATTTTTTACCAAGAAAATGGGCATAAGACTCAAGGCGAGTAATATAAGGAAATATTTGTTATCTTTCAGAATAAAGTACAAAAAAATGAAGTCTTTCGGTCAATATTTAAAAACAATGCTCTAAATAAGGAAATATGCAACTAAGAATAATCAAAATATTTGGACCCAAAACCTATTTTGAAAATTTTTTGCCCCAAAAGTGTTTTTTTCCAAGCAATGAAACATTCATGAATGACTCCCCCCCACACTTAAAATGTGCATAGTCCCCAATGCATCTATATGATATGCAAATAAATCATAATGATATAACCAAGAGAATAAGCAAAGAGAAAAGGGAATTGGGGAATTCAACAAATAAAAGTATACGCAGCATCAATTTATCACTTTCCTCTCCTTGATGTGTTCGGTGGACCCAAAATCTGCAAAAACATAGCTAAGACCAAGTCTTTTTAGCTTTGAAGAGATAAAAATCAGATTTAAAGAAAATGCAGATTTCAAGGTTCAAGTCAAGTTCCTGAGAACAGATTCTAGCACTCTTTTGCATTTTCAAAGCAGAATATTGTATATGAGAAGGTTAGTTATGTCATGCTCGTGCAGAGCAGCTCATATGCATCTATTAAACTCAAAAATCAGATTGATCACTAAGAAAAGATTGCAGATTTTTTCTATTTCAGCACCTTTAAGCTGTAAAAAGTGTAAAATTTGCATTTTGCACTCAAAAAATCAGCTTACAAGTCCAAAAATAACTTTTCAAAATGCAGAACTTTTCATTAGTATCCAAAAATCAGCTGTAAACACTGCATATGTCTCAATTTTCAGCTTAAATATGTCCATACAATAGCACCCAAACCTTAAGGAAAATGAAATTTTACAACATAGAAACCATTGGGTACTTGAGACCGCTGATCTGGGACACTGAGAGGCTGGAGCTACTGATTTGGATCAGATTTCACACCTGTTTGTGCAGATTTTTACTCCAAAGGGCATGCTTCTACCTATAACTTAATAGATCTTGAATATTCACTCAAGTAAATGGTTAGAAGCATACATGGAAAAAAAATAGACCATTAAACAAGCACCAAAAGCAGCAGTATTCCGGAACTCCTGATGATGAAATTTTTTCCATTTTTCGGATTTTTTTCTGATTTTCTATTTTTTTTTTATTTTTTTTGTGTTTTTAACAAAACCAAAAGATTAATAAGCAAACAATAATACAAATTAAATAAAGAGCAAGAAAAGTATGTGGGTTGCCTCCCATAAGCCACCCGATTTAAAGTCTTTGGCTAGACACAGTTTACTACTTGTAAACATATATTCAAATAAACCATGAAGTAGTAAAGAGAAGTAAAAGTGTTTCTTTAAAACACCCCAAAAAAGAGTGTAAAATTAAGAATCCAACTTTTGTTTCCAACTTCTATAAATAATAACACTTGAAGCTTAGTTGGGAAACAAAATTCAGATTCTATGTGCAGATTAAACAAGGCACAAATTTAAAAATCAGATTCTTAGGTGAGTCTTCACTTTGAGACCAAAGTTCAGCAAAAAGGGATCAAAATTATATTTGCACAAACAAGCTAGAAGCTTATAAGATTAGTTCCTGTGCAAAATTTAGCAAGAATAGTTCAAATTTCAGAAGTATAAGCACTTAAGGAACTCAAAATCAGCTTGGTTTTAAGCAAAATGTTGCAGTTTTTTTCAAAAATAAAGCAGTTCAAGACAGATTTTCTGCAAATTCAGTCTTTAGGGCATAAAATCAGCTTGTAAAAATATGTTAAATTCTCCCAAATAAGTTCCTATGCAAGTTTTTGACGATTAAAGTTCATAATTCAACAAATAGGCATCTAGGAACTCAAATTCAGCATGAAAATCAAGCAAAGATGTTGCAGATTTTTCCACAAAAACAGCAGTGTAGGTCTGAATTTTAGCAAATTCGGCTTCTAAACCAAAAAATCAGCATATAAACATCATGATATGCTTCTAAGTATTGTCCCTAAGCAAGATAGAGCAATGATAATTCAAATTTCAAGCATATGGATCACTCTAAAATACTCCGTAGCATGCAAAAACAATAAAATGCTGCGATTTTGTTCTAAAAGAACATCAAGTTCACACCAGATTTTTTAAAACATTTGCACCTAAGGCTTCAAAAGCAGATTGTAAAAATTGAGATTTAGGCTCTATTTCTGTTTGTGTGCATATTTTTCAAATGTAGGGCCAATTCTAATGCATAAATGCACTCCATCAGCATGCTAAAACAGTTATTGTAAGGCTGGTTTTCAAATGCATGGATTGATCAGATTTTCTAAGAAAAACAACACAAAGATTATCCAAAATCCGCAGGCATAGCATGTCCCAGCTTTAAATCAGCAAGCAAAATACATCAAATAATGCTCAAAATGCAGATTTTCCAAGAAACGGTACCGGAATCTCAGAAAATAGCACATTGACAATCAAAGTTAAGCACAAATGCAAACAAAGTTGTTGGTTTCAGTTTGCTCTCATATGCGTATCCTCAATTCTACTAAAAGGCATGTAAAATAGATTAAAACTCAAGAAAAGAGGCTACGTCGACATGCTTACTAACAAAAAAAACAAAGAACACAATGGCATACTAAAGTGATTTCATACAAAACTTTCCCCGGCAACGGAACCAAAATTTGTTGAAGACTTGTCGTGTGGTCCAAAACAAATTAAAAATTTATAAAATATCCTTAGCTAACCCCCAAGATATAATCAAATAAAAACTAAAGCTAGGGCAAGTAAGGGTCGATCCCACGGAGAAAGTTTGTACTTTTTAAAACCAAATTAGCATGCACACACGTTGTCACTAAACAAAACAAACTAACTACTAAACATATGATAAGACGTATAAAACTTATAAATAAAACTTATATAAACAAAGAACTTATAATATAACTTAAACACAACACAAATGGGGGGTTTGAATAAAAAGTAAATATTTTTTGGTTTTTTATATTTTCTTATTTTTTGGTTTTTTGATTAAATGGGGGAAAACAAGATTTAAAGATAATCATCTACTCCAACAAAAGTAACCCAAGAACACCACCAAGAACCCGAAACAAAATAAAAAAGAGAACAAACACAATCGAACATTACACGTATAATAGGCACGTAGACAATATATTACGTAACTTACGGACTTAAGAATAGGAAAAATCAATCAAAGGCCGAGTCGATTCATTTCCTTAACCACGATATGGAGGATTGTCAACTCTCCACACGGCCCGAAGTCATGCAATTTAAAGGCCCGTTTTTAAATATACCTTAGAACCCCAACTCTCTATTCAAGCATGAGAACATACTTCCACTATGAAAAAGTTTATAAAAGAGAGAATCTATTATGCATTCAACTCTCATACATAATCTATTCACAAACCGCCAATACCTTATGCATTTTAACAAACTTTTTCTCCTAATGATGAGCACATTTCACAGATTTCCATGAACTTCTCAAATCAATGGCGTTTTTTCTATTCACATAGATGAACACAACATATTTTCAATAAATCGAGAATTGTTTTTGAGCTTAAACAACCTTAATTTTATGAAAATAACGAACAAACATACGAGAAAACACACAATCACTCAATAACGAATTCTAAGAAAAATGAATCAACTTATGGGGCTAAGAAGTTCAAATTCCTTAAAATCAACAAACACAAATCACAAAAAAGATTCACGTATGAATTCGGAGTTCATTTAACTACCTTATGGAGCTAAAATAGCTTCAACAAAAACCGAATTCCCCATACCAACCTACTTATGAAATCAAATTATACAATTCAACCAATTCAACAACAACTTGCTCAATAATTGATGAAAAACTAGTATGAATCAATTCTCATTCATAAGGGATATTAATATAAACATGAAAAAAAATCCAAAAAGAAGAACACCAACCATTTTTTTTAGAATTTTCAAAATTAAAACAACAAGGGAAAAGAATGTAAATTGAATCAAAAACAAACTTTTACAAAGAAATTGGAGAAGAAAAAAAAGAAATTGACAATTAAGAGTTACCAATTGTTGAAAAAGATGAACAAATTGAGTAAACTAGAGCTGTGATGGAGGCTGCCCACCGGAACTGGAGCTGCTGCGCGTCTGCCGGCCGTTCGCCGCGCCGCCTGCCACCACCGCCGGCGACCACCATAGCAGCGGCCAAGCCGCTGCTTTATTCTCGTGTTTCCCCTCTGCTTCCCCCCTCCTCTTGTTGCAATTCGTTTTCAATTTATAGTAAGCAAGAGCTTTTTACCGTTGGAGCGCTTGAGCGATCATTGAATGAGGAGCGAGATTCATGGAGCCGAACGTTGGAGCTGGTTTTGATAACCGTAGAAGAAGAAGTCGAAGAAGAAGGAACCGCTGACTTTTTTTTTCATTCTTGCGTGAAACCAATTTGGGGTGAGAGATGCGATGGGCTGGGTTGGGTTTTGTTGTTGATGGGTTTGGGCTCCGTCCCAAATTCAATCTTTTTTTCCAAACTTGATCTTCAATTTGGTCTTTTGCTGCGCTTTTCTTTAAAAATAAAATATCTGATAATTTGGGTTAGAAAAAATCAAATAAAAACAATAATATGTAAAAAGGTGATTAAAAAGCTACTATTTAGGAAAGAAAATAAAAAGAATGTAAAAATGAAAATTATAATAAAACTAAGCTAAACAACTAAAAATTAAACTATAAAAATATTAAAAATGCCTAAAAAAGAATAAAAAGAACTAACCCAAAAACGACTTATCAGTCATCCCATGACATTGGAAACCAATGTCATGGGAACCGGTCTCAACTTTATAAGTGTATAACACAATCATTTTTGTTTTTTGTTTTGTTTTGTTTGTTTGAAAATGAAAGTTAGAAGGTAAGGTGGATTACCACTATTTATACCCCAATAATTTGTACCTCATTTTTTATTTCGCAGGGATGTACAAATATTTTATATTGGTATAATGCTAATTTTTGTTTACGCACCAACACTTTGTGTTAGTATAAATTTTTGTTAACGCACCAATACTTTGTGTCAGTTGAACCATCAAATTGGGTACAAATTTTTGGGTCATGCTCCTTTTTCTTATAAAACCTACACTACCCTTCTACATCTTATCAGCAGCATCACATAAACCCTATTAGCAGATATGGCGACTGGTGTTCTCACTCGATCTCTGTGCACCGCCGGAAAGCTGCAGGCCATCGGTACAGCGTTCACTCGATCCTTCTCTTCTCTTCCTCCGTGCCGCCATTTCTTCTCTTCATCCTCCCTCCTCCGCCTCCGACCACTGGTTACAGTGACCCCCGGCATCGGACACCTTTATCCGGGTGCTGCGGCGCTGCGAGGGTTCGCGACTCGTCAGACCTATTCATCCCTCAACGATACCAACCCTAACTTTTCAAACCGCCCCCCAAAAGAGACAATTTTGCTCGATGGATGCGATTTCGAGCATTTTCTTGTTGTGTTGGAGAAGCCCGAGGGCGATCCAACAAGGGATGAGATAATTGACAGCTATATCAAAGTTCTAGCTCAGGTCGTTGGGAGGTCTGTCTTCTTTCTCATTTTCCTCTTATTTAGAGTTTTATTGTTCATGTCATAGTATGATACTGTGTATTTTGTTAGTCAACTTGGATTTTTGGATATTAAATAATTATTAACCAGAAATGTGTTGATGTATTGTTGTTGCTTTCTTTGAATTAATATAATACTTGATTCACCATCTAGTTCTTATATTTGCTGGTTGGCATTGATTCATTTGCATTTTATATTATTGTTATATAAAAAATGCCATATTAACACAAAATTTCCTACCCTTTAAATGCAACCACTATTTTGTGTGTGCTCACTGTCATAGTCACAAAGAAGTGCACTTCTTGTGTGAATGTCGGTGGGGTGAAGACACGTGACTCATCTTGTGCCGAGGAAAGTGGGCCTAAGACATGTGGTGCCAAAGATGTTTTTAATGTAGCGTTGTTCTAACTTCTAATTATATTATAATCATAAAATCTTGTAGTGAGGAAGAGGCGAGGATGAAGATCTATTCTGTTTCAACAAGACACTATTATGCATTTGGGGCTCTTGTGTCAGAAGAAGTCTCATACAAAATAAAAGGTAATGTTTTATGTGCTACTTTGTATAATGCATTTGCGGCTCTCATGCATCTTACCTTGCATTCAGTTTTACTTAATTAGTATTTTATTTTTGCAGAGTTAGATAAAGTCAGATGGGTGCTTCCAGATTCCTACTTGGATGTTAGAAATAAGGATTATGGAGGTATGACTGTCCATGCTTTTGCAATACGGAAAACCCATGTATTTGTAATATAATTCATATTGCGGCAACCTGTTTGCATTTGTGTGTTGCTGACAGCCAAGTAGACTCATGTGTGTGTACTCAATACAGAAATGATGTGATCTCTTCTTCTTTAAGAAAAACCTTTCAAATTTAAGTTTGTTTTGAACAATGACTCCCAGAATATTTAGAGGTGCCCTTCTTTAATTTGTGGTGAATTAAAAATAACAATAACAGAAACTATAATTATGCTGATTAAAGCAACAATCGGGGATCCATGCTTGGTTTCAGTTTCTCCCAATGAATCGTGAAACATTTCTATTTGTTTAGACCAGATTGTGAATGGTATTTGGTATTATATAATGCATCTAGTTTTTTTTTATTCTTAGGAGCTACAAATATTTTATTGGGGTGATGGGGAGCTGAAGTATTTTGTTTATGGACAAAGATGGTTATTCTAATATGGTAACATTTGTTATTTTTCCACATGAATGGGCCTTACTGGACTATTACTTTTGATTCCTCGAATTGATTTCACGCTTTGTTTTTTGTGTGTTCCAAAATAATATACTTCACACTTCTCTTAGTTCCTTAACACTATGTTTGGTTCAAGGAATTTGAGAAGTAAAAGAAAAGAAAATGATATGGAAAGTAGTGTTTTATGTTTGGCTAGAGAGGAAACGAAACAAAAACTGGAAGGAAAAGAAAATGATAAGCAAGAATAAGCTAAGAACAGGGAAAACATGATTGCTTCTATTTTGGTGAGGAAAAGGAGAAATCATTTTCGTTTCCTTTCCTTCCTAATTTATGTAACCATAGTGTTGCGATTTACAACAGTTCTCTCTTCCAAACAGATTCCATTCACACACTATTCACTTTTTAAAACCATCAATTTGTAAAGTCAAACAGTGATTTTTTTTGCTGACGGAGGCCATATTTTCTTTAGGATACTTAACCTTTTAACTTTTGTTGTAGGGGAGCCTTTTATTGATGGGCAGGCAGTGCCATATGATCCCAAATATCATGAGGAGTGGGTAAGGAACAATGCACGGGCCAACGAAAGGAACAAGCGCAGTGACAGGCCTCGTAACTTTGACAGATCAAGGAACTTTGACAGAAGGCAAATGGCTAATCCAAATGCTCAGAATCCTGGTCCTGGGCAGAACTATCGACCTTCTGCTGGGCCAACACAACATGGCAGCCCCTCTGGTCCAAACCAAAGCAACAATGCTCCCATGCCAAACCAGAACAGTAATGCCCCATGGCCCCCAACCCAAAAAAACTCCCCTCCTGGTCCTCCTCAGAATAACTACTCCCCTTCTGGCCCTACCCAAAATAACTACTCCCCTCCCGCCCCCAGCCAGAATAATCACTCTCCCTCTTCACATGGCCAAAACTTCCCTCCTGTCACTGGCCAAGGCTACTCGACACCAGGTCACATGCAGAATTACCCTCCCGGCCCTGGGCAGAACTATCCTCCTAGGCAGAGTTATGCACCTCCTTCTCCTGGGCAGAGCTATGCACCCTCTTCTCCTGGGCATAGCTATGCACCTCCTGTGCAAAGCTACTCGCCCCCTCCCGGTCCTGGGCATAACATGTATCCTCCTGGGCCAAACCAAAACTATGCTCCAGCTCCTAACCGGAACCAGACTTTCACTCCAGGGCCTAACGAGAACAACTATGTTCCAAATATGGACGGGAGAAATGCCTACTAGAGAACTTGGCTTCTCCCGACTATTTATCAGGCAGTCTGCTGTTGTGTAGAAAAACTTCTAGAGTTTTCTAGAACTTCCTAGGAATGTTGTTTGGTGTCTTGCGATTAATTGATTTTGAAACGAGAACATTTCATGGTCCATGTCAAGACAGTGTGCTAGAGCAGCTATTTTAAATTCACATTTTGCTTTGTGAGCAGGTGTTGGTATCCTACTGTGAAACACGAACTTCATAAGTTCTCAATAATCCTTACAAGTATATTGATAATATTCTGAATGCTTCATTTGAAATCTGAATTACGTTAAGGCTTTACTAAAGGTCCGCAATCTGACTTAGGTTAAGGCTTCATCTGAAATATTCATGGTCCATTTAAAGGTTAAGGCTTTACTAAAGGTCCGCAATCTGTGTCTGAATAATTTATTTAGAAAAAAGGTATATTTGTCCTTTCTGCCATAGCGTGGAGGAGACGGTGGTTCACCTCTTTTTATCATGCCACTTTGCTCGTTAGGTTTGGGGTGCTTCCTTGGGTGGTTTTTCCTTGTAGCACAAACTTTTCTCGAATGGTTGGTGGTAGTTTTTAATCTTTTTAATGTGAATGAACAAGCTTTGATATAAAATATTCTGTCATTGTCGTCAGCCTACAATGTGAGGATTTGGAAAGGGGAGTCGGTCTTTCTTGCAGCATCTTATGTTGAGTCTAGGGTGCTGGGGGATGAGAGAAACCGCCCTCAACTTTCACTAAAGTTAATGTTAACGCTTCAATGGGACTCATAGAGAATCATGTGGGCTTTGGCTTGGTTGCTTGGGACCAAGATGGGTGCTTCATTGTAGCAAAAAGTATCAGGAAATTTTTGTCCTCGTGAAGCGGGGCCATCGCAGTGAAGGAGGCTCTGGGTTGGATTAAAGTTAAAGGTTGGGCTCGTGTTGACTGTAAAGAGGTCATCAATCAGCTAAGTTCACCTGTTAGCCATTATTCCTATTTTGACTCTATTATCGATGATTGTAAAAGTCTCCGTATCATGTGTGGAGAAGACCTTAGAATTCAGTTTTCTTATCGCTCGTCCAATGAGGGAGCACATATGTTAGAGTGTGCTACTCATTCACTGTCGAGTGTAGGGGAGTGAGTTGATTCACCCCAGACTTCATTGTAAAGTTTCTTTAATCTAATGAAGTGAAGTGTTCTTTAAAAAAAACTATGTTCAACTTATTAGTTTGAGCAATTCTCATCCGTTGCTTCTACGTCATTTGTTATAGTTACTCGAATCGATCATTCGTTTATGTACTACATTACTACATCATTTTGACCTCTTTTTCTATTTTTATTATTCATTTGATAAAATAACATAGTAACATTAGATATTGTTTTATACTCACTCGTCCTATATTACATTGTATATTTACTATTACCAAGGTTATTTTCATTATTACCAAGCTTTTGATATATTTTTTTTAATACAATATGTATTTTTTTTAAATTTACAAATAAATTGTATTAACAATAAAATCAGTCTAACATCCAAAATCGAGATAAGCGGTTTAAATTGGGATAGAGAAAGTAAATTATTACTTAGTTTTTTAATATATAAATTTTATTTTTAAAATTTATACCAATTTTCATATAAAGTAATTAAAGTATAAATAAAATTTAAAATTAACTAAAGTTTGACCATATAAGACAAGTTCAAATTAACTTCAATCAAATATTATAACCGGCAATAAGAAAATCATTTATGGACATACGGGGTATTAATTTGAGACATTACTTGTAGTATAAAAGTCTTTTAGGGGCAAAGGGGGTATTATTTTAAGGCTAATGGTCCCAATCTCGAGCGACTGAGACCAAACGCTCAGGTCGTCCTGATCGCCAAGACGCCAACCAACGAACCGAGAGAAGAAGAGTGCATAATTAGAACTATAAAACAAACCTCCTAAAACTTTTGGCCAAAATTGCACCGTTAGGCTTCAAGTTAATATATTTGGCACGATTAGTCTTTTTCAACCTTTAAAACTCTTAGATTATTCTTCAAGTTACTATTGCATTGCACAATTGATCATTCTCTAAATTTTACGGTTAATCCATGTAGTTGTTTTTATTTTTTTATATAAACATGTGAGGAACCCTCTTTTTTCATACAATTAAGTTATAAAGTACTCCTTCCGTCCCAATTTAAATCACCTGTTTTGACTTTGGGGATATTTAAGAAAGAGAAAAAATAGAGTTGATTTTCTGAAATTGTCATTATTTTTTAGGAGAGGCGACGATGAATGAAAAGATAAGGTAGAGAAGAGTGACTTATTTTAGGAGTAGTTTAGGTATTTTACTCTTAAAAGTTTATGATAACAAGAAACATGCAACTTATTTTGGAATGGAGAAAAAAGGAAAACATACAATTTAAATTGAGACAGAGGTGTTTCAAAAAAATTGAGACAGGGGAAGTATATTTTATGTAGGTCCATTTTTAATAATTACTTTTATTAGTCCAATTTTTTTAATAGTACTCCGTAATAAGTTACTCTTGCTTTTATTGGACTAATTTTGTTTAAATATTCACGTGTGAAGTTTTTTTTTTTTGCAATCAACTAGGGGTAATCTTTGGCTGCGGGTGAGGGTCTGGGGTTTTGGGTTTTAAATTTTGTTCAAGTGTTTGTGTTCTATAAGTGTAGATTTTCATTAATTGGTTGTTGCGGAGAGCTCAAAATTGTGTTTTTTATTGTTTGGGTTGAAGTTCGTGAATTTCTTTCAGTAGTTGTGAACATGTATATGTGCGATTCATGTATTGCATGTGGATATTTGGTTTTTTTTATGTTGTTTTGGTGATTGACGCATGTGTACTGTGGTGTTATGCTTTACATTTTAAGTTGTGTGCGAAGTGTTCCACAGTTGTTTCCTGTAAATAGGCTTTGGTGCCCTTTTCTGGCTAAGGTGCCCTTTTCATATATGCACTAATTTATTGTGAAGGTGCAACATGTTTGACATTTTTAAAGAGGATTATATTGTTGTGGTGCAATAGACATCCTTCTAAGTTTTAAATGAGCATTGTATTGTTGAATTGTTGTTGTAGTACTATATAAATAGTATAGGTTTTCGTAAAGTATTCTGCTTTTAAGATATGCAGTCGATGCCTATGGTGATTGTGTGAAAGTTGTGGTGTTTCTTACATTTTTGTTTGTGTGTATTTGTGAAGTTATATTGCATTGAGTGGATAAAGCAGTGTCCTGATGCCAATGTATTCCATGGTTTGGCTTATTTTGTGGTGTTCGTTCTGCTATTTTATGGGTTTTACACTGGTGAAGAGTTATTGTTTAGTTTTCATTTTGTTACTAATACTGTGCATTGCAATCCTAATAGTTATATACTTTGTTTGCATTTTATATATTTATGAGATTCATTTGAAAGGCATGTTTTGGTCTGAGCAATTGTGATAGTGTGTGTGAGGAAAATGTTATAGATGCAGTCAGGGATTGTGGGTGCGGACTGATGCATATACTGTATTAGTTGGTGTTTCTTTAGCTTTATACAATGCATGGTTCAATATTAGCACTGATGGAGACTTACTGTGCATCTAGCTTTGTTAATAATATGGTACTATATCAATCTGTGGGTTATTAATCTGCTTTGTGATTGGTATTATGTTTAGGTTTATTGAAATGTTGTGTATTTAAATTTTGTGCATTTCATACTAATACATAAGTGTTTGGTTATTTAAAGTGTAAAATGGTTTTGATATTCTAGTTTGCTGTTGTTTGATGTGGAATGGTTGTTTGGGTGGCCACACAAACACCACACTGGCATTTTTATGTTTTGTGTTGTGATTTGGCATTGTATCCTTGTTTATAAGTTTTTGTTTTTGGTTTTTTTGTTGGGGCTGCAGATCTTGCCTTGAAAAGAAGTTCCAAGCGCAGCAAGAAATCTGTTGTAATGGCTTCACCGATTCGAAGAAGCGGTAGATTGCAGCTTGCAGAGATTATGAAAAGGCCAAAAGTACACGCTGCGCATGTCGACCTGGTCGATGATGACGAGGATTCTGTGGAAGATAGAGGTGCAGATGGGAATGATAATGCTGGTTCAGATGTGTCTGGAGATGATGCAGTGATTGCGGGAGATGAAGGCGGGAATGCAGAAGAGGAGACTGACAGTGATGATGCATTTGATGACCCACCTCAGAAGACATCAACTGACCCTTCACCGAGTGCTTCGAGGAAGAATGTTGCAACAGTAAAGAAATGAAAGAGGGAGGGGATAACCAAATTGAAGGAGAAGTACCTACGAATTCAGTCAAGAGCTTCTCCAAACGTTTTGCAAAAAGTGGTTGAATCTCTGAACGAAGTTCAGAGGAGGGAAGTTGTGAGAATTGGGTTTGGGTCTATGTTAAAGATCAAGTTAACAGAGCTTCCAGCGAAACTAGGATATTGGGTGGTAAAGAAATTTAATCCTAGGAGTAGCAGTATTGAACTTGCAGATGGAACGAAGGTGCGTGTTACGGTGGATGATATTAGACATGTTTTGGGTTTGCCGTGTGGGCGTGCTAAGGTAGTCAGCAAAAAAGGTGAGAAGTGTGATATACTGGATCAGTTGAGGGTAGAGATTGGAAGTAGATACAACAAGATCACCCCTTTAGAGCTTAGTGAAAAGGTTCTGCAATATACTGATGGTGGCGTGTGGTTTGTTCGTCTTTTCGTGTTGTTAGTCGTCTCAGTTTTGGTCGATAGCTCGAGCCATGGGTACGTAAACAATTGGGTGTTGAAAAGCTTGGAGGATGTGGATGGGATTGCGCAGTTAAATTGGTGTGAATATGTGCACCGATCATTGATTGACAGTAGAGTGAAGTGGGAGAAGGGGAAAAGAAAATACTATACTGGACCTTTATTGTGCTTGTTGGTAAGAGTTATGTTTTCTGTCAACTCTAATTTACTTCATTATAATGTAGTTGTATTTTTAATGTAGTCTTTCTTATCTATTTTTTAAGGTGTTCTACGTGGACCGAGTGGTGCTCTATAGAAGGGACGTTTAGAGAATGTCGCCTGCATTTCTGGGATGGACATCTAAGATCCTAAGGGATAGGGAAAACAATGAGGTCAAAGCAGGTGGATTCGGGTTGGGGTATGACGATGGAAGATTTGTTGGTGAGGTGGTGGATGCGAGCTCTGGTGACACAGATGTCGGGGCAGGTTTAGAACAGGATAATGTGGAAAATGGTAATGGTGATGCACCAGAACCAAGGGGAGAGACGAGGGATGATCCGGTTGAGGTAAGTGCGGGGGGATTACTTAGCAAACCATGTACTGATTATTTTTACCCTGGGGTTGTTGAAATTTAATATTTTTTATTTTATGACACCCTTATGCATTAGGTTTTTGTTCAAAAGTTTGCAGAAAAGGGGAGAATTTTGGCTACCACAATCATCGACCTAGTGTCGTTGATTGAGAGTGCACCACCTGGTACCATGGAGAATGATGTGTTCAAGCAGCTGCAGCTTGCAGCGGGTAGATTATTGGGTCTGGCACAGCGTAGAGGTGGTGGAAGCTTAGAAACACCTTAGGGAGGATTTTCAGAGGTGACCTATGATGAAGGTTTCTGGAGCGACCCTGCAAACATAGATCAGTTGATAGCGAATGAACAGGCAGTGCTCGCACGTTCAAAATACAAGAAGATCATGGAGGATATGCCATCGCTCAGTCTGGGGTTCTCGCAATTGGATGGAGAGAATGAGAATGTGAATATTGATGGTGGTGATATGGGTGCTTGCAGAAATACACCTAGCACTCCTGTAGTTCGGGTTGTGAATGAGCCGGAGAGTAACCCAGGGGTTGAAAATGATTTCATAACACCTGGAGAAGTGCAATGTCATGTGGGAGATGTAATTTTAATTATTGCCGTAGAGTGTTCCTTGGTGTTGTGAAGCATGTTGTTTGGTGTACCATAACAATTCATATTGGTTATGTTTGTTTTTTGTATGTTGTTGCAGGCAGTTGATATGGATTTGGCTGGTGGAAACAGGAATCAGCCGGACAGGATTGGTATGACAGCGGTAAGACCGTTTTCCGTATTGGTGTTCGTGATCTGTGTGTTGCATTTTGTTACGTGGTGATAACACCAATGGTTGATATATGCGTAGGTTGCTGGTGTGAGTGCAGTCGGTGATGGTACTGTGCGAGGAACATTTACAGAACATTCAAAAGCAGAGGTAGGACTGATTTTTTCGGTTTTGTCAAAAATTAATTCATGCATGGTAAGGGGTGGTGTGGTTGTGTTTTTTGGTAACTTAATGAGAAATATTATTGTTATGTGTTAGGTGAAGCCATGCAATGCAGCAAGGAAGTTGGCTAGGACATTAAAACCTGCGGGCCCTTTGAGATCACCCTACCTTACACGACCGATAGATCTTTCCGATGGGTTATCTGTCATGGAGAGGAGGGTGACGAATTGGGTGTTGCAGAATCCAAATGCTCCAAAGTAAGTTTTTGTTTTGAAGTCTGCAATTTTGATTGAAAATTATTGAGTATGTATGGATTGAAGTTTGAATGTTAGATCTTTAATAATCACATATTGTGATGTTTAGGGATGAAGCTGTTTTCGTGAAGGATGGATTGGAGTTGACAAGAGGTGAAATTGCGTCGTTGGATATTGAGAAACATATTTCCAAGAGGGTGATAGATGTGTGGTCAACAATACTGAACCACAATGAGAAATTCAGAAGTGACAATTCCCCGTTGCGTGTGTTTGCTAGGAGCATGGATTGTGTAAGTTGTTATTTTTTTTTTGTGCGTACTTAAGTTTGAATCGGGATTCTCATGCTGCTTAGTCTGACATGTTTTGAAATGAAAACGTTGCAAATGGGGATATAGTAGATGTGTCTGAGGCGAATGTGAAGAACATGTTTGCAAATGCGCTGCTTCCTGCGTGGGATGACATGGCAGATGATTTCAACTGGGGGAAAGCTGAACTGGTTAGAATGTTTATAGTAGACGCAATGTGAAGATTGAAATTGCCCTAGATCGTTCTGCGTGGTTTATCAGTAGTTCATTGTGTTTGAGAGAAATTGTTAATGTGTGATTTATTGGATTATGTGCAGTTTTTCTTGCTTATTATGCAACAGAACTGGGCATATGTGTTGTGTGTTGACCTAAAAAGCAGACGTTGTGACATCCTGGATAGCTCTTCAGCGAAAGCAAAAAACGAAGACAGATATGGCGACATGCCAAAGCGAGTTGTAAGAACTTTGGGTGCATGGTTTTTAGGATAAAGTATATTAATGTGGATGATTTATTAACATGAAATGTTTCAACCACGTGAGGTTGTTGGGTGATTTTCTTGAGCAGCAGAGGTTTGTTTACAAAGGTAAATGTGTTAGAGAAATGCTAAGAGAATTACGTTACCTTGGAGAGATCCGAAGGCTACCTTTGACTATGGTGTGGCGACCATGCGTCATATGGAGACGTATATGGGGGATGGTGGCAAGGGATGGCACAGTGGCTTGTCGAAGATAAATCAGAAGCCTATGTTGTTGCTGCGCTGCAAGTACTGTGCATGTATACTTCTAAGCCCAGTTAATGCACTGTTGGACAAGGTTTACGCAGAGTCAGAGAAGCTCGAAAGGGAGAGGAAGGGAAAGGATCCTAAGTGAACCCACACCTAGAATGGCTGCATCTTATTTTTGTGTGTTAGTTGAATTATTTTTATTAGTTGTTGGTGAAAGTTGGTGACACCATACATTGATGGAAGTGCTATAAGGAAACTAATTATCAGCCCATAGTTTGGTTTATTTTTTTATTTTTTGTGTGGATTTGAGGAAATTGTTTTTTTGTAGAAGGTGTGAATGGTTATGGTTATTTGAATGAAGATGTGGTGTTGCCGTATTTGGTGCGTTTGTGGTTTTTTAAGAATGTGTTTGTCATTACGTATTTTTGGAGAGTTGTAAGTGGTTGGATTAAGTGAATATTAAACAAGTTTGCTGTTTTGAGATGTGTGAACATAGCGATTGATGAAGTGATTGAATTTTTATTTGTTTGAAACAGAGGTTTCAGCATTGTGATATGAACGTAGAGAATATCAGTACCAATATATGATGTTATAATTGCAGATAACCATTTTATTTTGTTTTCCTTCAAAAATCGTTCCTCCAAAAGTTTTTTTAATAATACATCCATAATACATCTGTTTGACGCTGCTTGTGCATTTCTGGGTCTTACTGCCGCATATATTGTCTGTGACATTCCATGATGTACATTATATGCGTTACCATTTATAAACGTTCTACGTACGGGGTTGAGGACGTTTAGTAAACAGAACCTCACTATCTATGGTTTTAAACCCTCAATCTAAAACAAACCCATACATGAAATAAATTAAAATATGCTTCATATTCACCTCAATTTATCAATATATTGGTATGAAATCTATTTCATATGTGGAATGCACAACTCTTGTATGAATATTCATTTAAACAGTGGTCACCATTTTGGACACA